TTATTCTTTGTTTGTGTTGTTGTTCTGCATAGAGCTAAGGTAATTTAAAGTTATTGTTGTTTTTAGTTACCACTTAAGTTAGTTGGTATTTGAAGAGAACGGGGAAGGAACGGAGAGATTTCGAAAATGGCTATTATTTTAAGCAACTTTTCATTATTGATGATGGACTTTGTTTAAAGGTTCGTTAAAAAATCAAAACCCGAACAATGTAAAAAATAGTTGCCATAAAATGCTTAAACTATTTTATTGTTTCTATTGTACTCTTAAGTTTATTAATAATTAATGGAATTCTGTAGCATGTTGCATTATAATATACAAAAATTTTAAAATGTATTCATTGAATATTTTGTTATGAATTTTTTATGTATATGATATATATTATTACCAATTCTGAAAATATGTATGTATATTTATAAAATTGGAATTTTAAATATGAAAAAACAATAAATAAATAAAAATCGAAAGGGATCGATACATCAATTTGCAAAACAACAAATACATGTAAAACAAAGTGAATTTTTAAACACTTGGTTTGGGTGGCGTATGACTAACGTCACAACGTATACGACAGAAGGGACAAATATTTTATTATGCGACTAAATTTAACCCTTTATTGCATGACCTTTTCTTTTTGGCTGAAAACAAATCAAGGTGGTAGATTTCTTGCTCAGAATGAAAGAAGGAAATATTAAAACTATTTTCTGACACCCATTTATACAATAACCACTTTATTATTTTTTTTTTTTTTAGAATTTGAAATTTTAAAATTTGGAGGGTTCCTTTTCTAATTAGGAAATAAATTCAAAATTAAGTTAATTTTTAAATAACTGCAAGCTGTGGCGTATGAGTAACGCCACAACGTATACGACCTAAGAGAAAAAAATTCTTTATTATGTGATACCGTTTAAAAATAAATATATATTTTTTTGCTACAATATTTTTCAGAGTGGTTAGTTTTTAAGAAATATCATCTCCAGAAGTGGAGTATTTTGGAATATATTTTATCAAGAAATAAGAATTAAGTTTTTATTGATATTTCTTCTGAGATATGGAGTATTTATTTTGTATGTGATATTTTTTTAAGAAGTGTGAAATATACTTTTATAAAGAGTTAAGTACATATAAAAAGGAACCTCTTTCGAATGGACTTGCTATTTAAAGTTATCAATGCATTAATTGCTTAACTAAATTCATAATAAATGACATTTATAAACTCTTGAGTTGTGTGGCGTATGAGTAACGTCAGAATGTATACGTCTAAGGTGAATAAAGCTTTGTTATGAAATTTCAATTGAGAAAGATAATTCTAAAAGGCATACTTCAAGAAGTATTTGTCAATAGGAATGCCACAGCTAAAGGTGGGATTTTTTTGGACACATTCGATCAGAAGAACTTCTTAACGAATATTTTTTTGTAGATATTTGAATGTGTTTGTTATTGAAAATTTTATTATGATTTTGATATGAAGAAGGTGAATTTTTAATTAATAAGTACATTAATTATGTAAAATTTTGGGATAGTTTTTAAAGGGACACAAATTGAATGTCAAATAAATTCAAAAAAGGAATATGTGACGAATTAGTATCGTCATAATGTATACGACAAAATGGGATTTTTTTTTTTTAATTTGTGAATATTTTTGAAGGCATATTGCATCCAGAATCCTACACCCAGTAAAAATATTTTTCAAATGCCCATGGCAGTTAGTAATACACATTTTTAATAGAAGATTTCTGACCGGTTTATCTCAGCTAACAATGGAATTACTTTTAAAGAAAAAGTGGGATAAGTATGGTATTGTTCACAAATACCTTGTTAACCTTGAAGTGAGACACCAGCGAAATTCTCATGCAGTTTATTTCGTTGCTCAGCTTAGTACTTCGCTTTGTTACCAGAGACATTTGTGTATGGAAAGTTTTTAGTAAAGAAGCAATAAATAGCTTCTGGGGAGAATATCCCAACAAAAAACTAAGGGAACTGATGAGGATCAGTGGCGAGTCCCGAAGCTATAGTCTTCTCTGCCTTACCCCTTGGTGGACAATGTCATACTTTTAACCCACTAATAAAAAGTTGTTTTTATAAAAAGCAAAAAACTGGGATTCAGCCTCACTATTTTGCTAAAACAAAATACAAATGCTATCCGAAATAAACCGCCTACACTACTGAATAAATATTTGTTAAAAAATATCAATGGGAGAATATTGAATCGAATATTTTTGCTACTACATTAATTAATTGTACGAATAAAACTTGATGGTATTTTGTATTGGTCTTCTCAGTTTTAAATTACTGAAATATGTGGCGTATAAGTGACGTCACAACGTATACGACTTAAGGGTTAAATTCCTTATTATGCCATTAAATATCTTTCGAAGTTCAATTTAGACTAGAAAGATAAAATTTTTTAAATATATTTTTGAAGGAACTAATAATGTTAGAAATGGAATTTTATTCCAAGAACATATCACGAAATTTTCTTTGGATATGAGGATATTTTTTAGATATCAAGATCACATAATATTTTTATCAACGACTAGGAATCTTCTCAGGGGTGACCAGAAGGTATTCTTATATCTGACTAAAATATTTTGATAGATTACACGAAAATGTCTTGTTATAGAGGACCATACTTAAAGAATAAACATTTATTTCAAAGGCATATAGCCTGTGCGAACATTCGAAACAAAATCCTGGTTTTCAGATTTTGCAATAAATTGTTTTTAGGTTACAATATATTTTTTTCAAGAATATCGTATTTTTCAGGCAATATTAACCTGATATGTAATCTACTAATAACTCAGAAAATTCATAAATTCGTCATATTTTTGAATAACTTCGAACTTATTCAAGCCTTTAGTCCCGTATTAAATATCGAATACATTCGATCACAATCCTGAAAATGATTAACTCAGATAACGTCAAAATCAAAATTTTCATTTGAAGTACTTTGGAATAAAATATTGTTTTGGCACGAAGTTAGGAGATTATATAAAATACAATAATAAAACAACATGATGTAGAGAAATTCACGCAGATAACGGTTATTTTTCAAAGTTAATATGTAAACTTAATTGGGGTTTCATTAGGGCGTATAAGTATTGACATTACTTATACGCAACAAGGGTTTTGGTTTAAAGTTGTAAGTATTGCTATTCAGCTACCGGAATGGTTCGTTAAAATAATGTTTTAGGCTTATAGCTTCTGGAAATTAGGACTTATAAAATCATTTTCCGAATAGCTATGAATTCGTTTTCCAAAACATAATTTTTTCGTGAAATATTATATGTCGAACATATCGAAAAGAACGTTGAAATTGTAAAGCTTCATATAATAATAGTTGTTAAATAGTGCGTATACGTATCTTCATTACTTATACTCAAGAATACGTTATAGAATTTTTTAGGTTGTACGCGAATAATGAATATTTTAAAGAAAAGATTTTCAGAATTATTACTCACGGATTGGGACAAATTAGAAATAATGTAAAATGAATATTTTTCGACCTATGGTCGGAAAAGTATTTTTTGAAATATTTTGACTTAAAGAAATATGTTCTTGAACATTTCTAGAATGGATTTTTGTCAATAATGCATACGATTATTTAAAATAAGTTGTATGTCGAATATATTCGGAAAAACACACTAAATGCGTTGAGTAAAATTACATGTGTGTACATGGGGACGAATTGGTGTTGACATTACTTATACACAGCATAGTCCCTATATTTATTTTTATTTAGTGATTCAGATCTTTCTGATGAACTGAAATCTTAAAAAAATTAAATTTTTTTGTGGAATATTTGCGCTGTAACGTCTAATTTCTTTGAGGACATTCTGTAACGAAATATTTGGAATAGAGTGTATTTTCTAAGCAATATTTGATCAGAGAAAAAAATTTTGGTCAATATATATTTTCTTCTAAAAAATATGTAATAAACTTAATCAGTCCCACAGGACAATTCAAGTTTTAATAGCCACAAAATTTATAAAAGAGGTAAATGGGATAAAAAACCCCAACAACAACACAAAAGAATATTAAAAGCAAACTACTAAAGTATTTAACGTAAATGGTGGTTTGTTCGTACACCCTCAAACACAAAAATGAAAACCAGAAATTGTTTATAGAATATGCAACAACAGCAGCAGGAGCAGCAGAAAAGTGCAAAATAAGAATTGTGTTGTTCACAATATGTTTTACACCTTTTAGTTGATTGTTTCCTCCACCCTTGGTGCTGTTTAAATAATTTATTTAACACTGAAATTGATTTCGATATTGTTAAGTCGGATGTATACCCGGGGTTTTTGTTGGTTCACAACTTGTGTACCGTTTTTTGGTGCAGTTGGATTTTGCTGTTTTCCTTTCGCCTTTCGTTTTATTTCAGCTATCGAACAAAGTTGTTCAAGTGCAAATTTTATGGAGTAATATTTTTTTGTTAAAATATTAATCACAATGTATTTGCCAAAGAGGATTTTGAAAAATATTATAAAGTTTAAGCTGCTTAAAACTAAGTAAATGAAATGTTGTATTTTTTTGTTGTTGCTCCGTTTCTTTTTATGTTAGAATAACTAAAATATAATTCTTTCCGTTTCTTCCTTTTCTTTTGTTTCCACACACACATTCACAAAATGAAATTAATAAAATATCAATAATTTGGGTTTATGGTATGCAAAACTAAAAAAAAAAATTAAACTTAAAAAATAAAAAAATGAGAGCAATGATATTATAGAATTTGCTTGTTTTTTTTTTTCTTCTTTTGAAAAAAGACAAATCAAGAAAAAAAGGATTTAAAAGAAATTCTATAGTATATGTTTGTATGACGTTCGAAAGAAAATATGCTAGCTATGTTTGTATATATAATGATAAAAAAACTACACATATCTCGAGAGAGTAAATCGATTATGGTTTTATAGTTTTTAGTTTTCGTTTTTGTTTCTGGTCTTTCTAAATTAAATAAAAACCCAAAACACAAAAAAAGTAATAAATTTCATGTGCAGACGTACCAAAGAGGGTAAATAGAGCATCAGGCGTGACCATCTACAGAAAAAAGAGAAGAAAAATAGAGATTTAGTTAGCAAGAGTTGATGTAAAAAAAAATTAAAACAAAATATGAATATTAAAAACACAAAAAAAAAACTATGGAAAACAGAAAATCCCTTAAAAGATATTTTTCTTGGTAATTGCAAGATTGTAAAAGTAAGCCAATTTCAGAGAGATTGGAAAAATATAGGGGAAACATGAAAATATTTGAAATTGACTTACTTTTAATTTTATGTCATATGGTAAAAAAATATGAACCTTTTAGATTACTAATGACATACAATGGGATTTAAAAGATAAATCCATAGATTCGAAGGCTTAATCATAGGCAAAATTAATCTCAAATTGTTTCTCAAATCAATTCATGTACATGCTTAATATAGAGAATTTCAACTGGGTTCAGTAGGGCGTATAAGTAGTGACAACACTTATACGCACTATGATACAATACTGATGTATTCGTGGGCTAGGAATTTGAAAAGCATAATAAAAAAAGAATTCTACTTAGTGACTGGCACACAAAAGATATTCGCAGACAGTTTGACCGGGCCGAACTTTGGATACCCTCCACCATAGATATATTGAAAGGTACTAGAAATGAAAATATAGGGAACATGCCAAAAAGTGGACCTATACCGACATTTCTAAAAACGAATTATGTAAACCATAATACAAATTTTAGAAATTTTTAAAGGATAATTATACCCTCAGCCTTATGGCTACTGAGGGTGTATACACTTTAACACGGTAAAAATGTGCCTCATCGAAATATTGGTTTTACACCCCATGTTTCTTTGGACCAAATCCGTTTCAGAAAATTTAGACTTCATCCAAACTTTGCCCATCTTATTATTTCTTCCAAGCTTAGTTCAAATTCGAAGATGGGGAATATCGGTCCACTCTTTCTGGAACCTCCAATCAGGGTTCATTATCGAACCTTACGTTCTAATTTTTTATCTCTCTATCCTCCGCAGGTGAAATGATTACAAAAGAGACTTAGAACCAAACTCAAAAGACGGAATAAATCAGATAATTATTTTAATATAAAAAAGGGGGTTATATGGGGATAACCCCAAAATGGGGGGGCGAATATTAATCATTTTTTGTAGGGAAAATTGTTACCATATACGACTACAAAATACCAAATTGCAGCAAATTCGGTTGAAAAACGCGCTCAAGAACCCCAAAATACCGAAAATTGGGGGTACTATTATATGGGGGCTATCCGAAAAAATTGACCTATATTCATAATTTTTTGTGGAGAGATTTGGAACCTACTAAGAAATCAATGTACCAAATTTCGGCGTATTCGGTTGAAAAACGCGCTCAAGAACCCCAAACTACCGAAAATTGGGGGGTACCCTTATATGGGGGATATCCGAAAAAATTGACCTATATTTATAATTTTATGTGTGGAGAGATTTGGTACCTATTAAGAACACGAAATACAAAATTACAGCCAATTCGGTGGAAAAATACGACCAAAACCCACACAAAATACTGAAAATTAGGAGGTACCGCTGTATGGGGAAAAAGTGGACCTATATTTATAATTTTTTGTGGGGACATTTAGTATCCAATAAGAACCCAATGTACCAAATTTCAGCGTATTCGGTTGAAAAACGCGCTCAAGAACCACAAAATACCGAAAATTGGGGGGTACTGTTATATGGGAGCTATGCCTAAACGTGGACCGATATATCCCATCTTCGAACTTAACCTGCCTGCAGCCAAAAGATAACCGTATGCAAAATTTCAACACCCTATCTCAATTCCTTCAGAAGATAGCGTGATTACAACAGACGGACGGACATGACTAGATCGTCTTAGAATTTTACCCTGATCAAGAATATATACTTTGTAGGGTCGGAAATGAATATTTCGATGAGTTACAAACGGAATGACAAAATTAATATACCCTCCATACTATGGTGGAGGGTATAAAAATGTGGTTTAGAAGAGACAGTTAAATTATTTTGTTGGCCAAGGTGTCGTATTAGTAATCCAAAGTTACACATAGGGTGTATGAGTATTGTCATACATTATACGCTCTACTTTAACATAATTTAATTACCGATTTTTATTATTTATGAATTTATTATTTTTTTAATTATTATTTTTATGAATTGATCTAGAAATCCCTTATTTTATTATGATTTTCTATAAAAAAAAAAACCTTTTTATTAACATTGTGTGCAATGTTAATTGGGAACAAAATTAAAAACAAAACATCATGAATAAATCTGTTTACTGAAAACTCAGAGAAAAAAACCAAAAAAATAGTGAGAAATAAATATAGCATGAAATATGAAATATTTGATGGACGATGGTAAAGTTTTTGGCCAAAAGCAATGAAACAAAATAATGATGAATTTCAAATGTATTGGAAAATAATATTTTACAATGTGAAATGAATATGAAAGTTTTTTTTTTTTTAAATGCATACACACAATTTATATGATATGATATTTTATGAAATTTAAATCAATATGCGCGATAATAAATAATTTGTATGTAATTAACAGTTTCAACAAATAGTATTATATTTTATAATAAATTAAAAATTTTTACCTATTGTATTAATAAATATTATTACTGTGAGTTTGTAGTTAGTAGATTTATTTTTGTTACGGATTTTTATAACTATACTGTTAGGGGTTTTTTATATTATTATGGGTGACTTTTTGTTTATTATACACTAAATAAAATAAGCCTGCGTATATTTATATTCATTTTAATGGGCGATCAGAGTTTAAATCTTTTCTGAGGGGTAGGATTTTTGTGAAAATTTATTCAGGATATTTCTCGATAATTGGAGCTTTATTTCAAAATACAGACATTGGTACCGACTGAATTTTTTAATGCTGCCTTAATTATACTTTAAGAAACCAAACAAAAATAAGTTTTTTTCCAAATAGCTTATAGATAAATATTTGCATTAGGTGCAGAAAGAAAAAAATTGTCTTGGAATTTTGAGATTTTGTAAAAATATATTTGTTATACTTTCTAAGGATTATCAAAGGAAGTTTTAGAAAAATTTCAAAGGTCTTACAATATTGTATTTTTATGGAAACATTTCAATAAATTTTTAAGGTAAACGAGTGAAATGAATTTGATTTATAAGGGCGTATAAGTGTTGACAGTACTTATACGCTGCATGGCGTTGTTTTTTTTTTATTTAAAATATAGTTGTTGATATAAAAAAATTCAGTAAAAAAGTGAAGATTTTTCATTAAAAAAAATTGGATAAGTTATTTTATCATTTTCAAGAAAAAATGTAGCAACAAAAAGTAATTTTTTACGAACATTATTTCCCGAAAAAATCGCAGTAAAAATTGTAGAAATTTTTGAGAAAATATCGATGCCAGAAATATCTTTTTAAATCTCCCTTACAATATTGTATTTTTATGAAGACATTTCATGAACTATTTAATGGAAAAGGATTTGAGTGTTGACACTACTAATACGCCACTTGGTGTCATTAGGTTTTTATTTAAAATGTACTTGTTTCATGAAAAAGATTTAAAGATAAAAAATATCATTTGTTAAGGAATGGTACTTCATTAAATATTGGAAATAAATTGGAGAATTGTTTGAGAGTATATCAAAGCTAGAAAGGACTTGTTAATTTAAGAAATATCGGCAATAGATTGGAAATAATGGAAATATAGTAGTTAGTAATGTCTTGTTTACTGATTTAATTTTTTTTAACTAGTGTATCACTCATGAAATGTAATATTTTTATGAAGATATTTCAGAGAATATTTGAGTTTAGGCGTATTAGTGTTGACACAACTTATATGCCACATGGCGCCATTTGATTTATATTTAAAATATCGCTAGCAAATTATATGAAACTGTCGGCTTAAGTAATTTATTTTTGTTATTAGCATAATTTTTTTGAATATTTTTCAAAGAGATTATTGTGAACTTTTTCAAGGAGCATTTAATAGATTTGTTAGGGAATGACGGAATACCTGTTTTATCCGTGGAATTATATGACAATTATATTGAAAATTTGCTATAGGTTTTTAAATGCTTTTCTATTATTTTTATTGGATGACGTGGGTTAACATCAGATGAAGTCAAGAAATTATAGAGAGAGTTTTAAACCTATTTTCTTAAAGTCAGTCGACGATGGACTATGATAATTTTTAAAAACTGTGCTGTTAGTTTTATAAATAATATCTTTTACAGACTATCACAACTATTAGTCTGGATTTTAATGAAAATAGTCCGCTTGAAGTGGGGATTTCTTCAAAAATATCTGACCTCATATTTTTCGATGTGCGGTTTTAAAAGGGCTGCCTAAATAGAACATTAAAAATATATCTTCCCAATCTCTCTACAGGACTAGTTGAGCTATGCGAGAATACTTTCAAAATATTTCATTTTAATACTTTACGAATAGCTATCACAGTTATGTGAAGGTATTTTAATAGAAATATATATTCTAGATTTTTTTTTCAGGTGTGGGAGATCTTTTTTTCAGCAAATTTATGAAAAATTTAGGATTTTTGGAAATGCTAATCTTGAATTCGAAGATCTGTTTTGATGGACTACTAAAGGATTTTGTAAAAATACGTTTAAGCGGGGTTTTATTTCTTAGTTATTTTGAAGGCCAAATAGAATTTGCAATGATAATCAGTAGGAATGAGCATTAGATACCACCATGTGCTAAATGGCAACAGCAATAGAAAAGAAAACTCCAACCATGATAAAATAAATTCAAGATGACGTTGTCTCTATGCAACGGTAGATGGCATCCTTATTACCTAAGAATGATTACAGCATAATTTCATAAAGGACTAATCATGATATATATTTATTTTAAATTATTTTTAAGGCCAAATAGCATTCGAAATGATAATCAGTAGGCAGTGGCAGGAGACAGCGTCACCCAGTGGGAAAATTGCGGCTCTAAAAGAAGCAAGGACTCAAACCATGACAAAAATTCAAGGATCGTTGTTTCTAGGCAACGATAGATGGCAGCCTTATAAACTAGGTTGAACAAAAACCATGAAGTAAGGAACGAGTAAGATTACGATGTTTTAAGAAGAATTAACAATTCAAAGACATCCTAATTTTGAATTCGAAGACCTGCCTTTGGTGGACTATAAGAATATATTTAGGGAGTTATGTATGGATGTTTTTATAAAATTCGAAGGTCAAATAAAATTCGGAATGATGAGTAGGAAATGGCAGGAGATTTTGTCAACTAGAGGGAAAATTGCAACGCCAACAGAAGCAAGGACTTCAACCAAGTCAAAAAGTAAGGATCGTCGTTTCTAGGCAGCGATAGATGGCAGCCTTATAACCTAGGAAAGGCTACAGCAGACCAATAAATTACTAAGGTTGAACAAAAACCATGAAGTAAGTAACGAGTAAGATTACGATGTTTTAAGAAGAATAAACAATTTATAGACATGCTAATTTTGAATTCGAAGACCTGTCTTTGGTGGACTAGTAATGGATTTTATAAGAATATATTTAGGGTGTTATGTATGGATGTTTTTTTTTATAAAATTCGAATGATGAGTAGGAAATGGCAGGAGATTGTGCAAACTGGAGGGGAAATTGCAACACCAGCAGAAGCAAGGACTTCAACCAAGTCAAAAAGCAAAGATGCGTTGTTTCTAGGCAACGATAGATGGCAGCCTTATCATAAAGAGATTAATTGCTTCCAAGAGAAGAATTTATAGCATTAATAATGCATTTTGTATGAATAATTTTGGGGGATCGATAGTGGAGAAATATTTGAGATTAATGTATAAATCGAGTTTTTTTTTTTAAATTCTGAAATTATAAAATATTTACTGGATACTGTATATTCTAATTATACGCAGACTTATTTCCAAAGGTGTATATATGAACTAAATATTTTCTAAAAAATACATGTTTAATATAATAGTATATATGTCATATTTTAAGTATGTTTTAAAAACAAAAATTTATATATTACTACAAAAATATCAAAATATACTATTTTAATAAATTAAAAAATAAATTTACATATATTTGTTAAATAAAAAATAATTTGCGTTTTACTAACCTCCTCATTTAGATTTGAAACAAGTAAGACATTGGAGAAACCGCGCAATGCAGGAGCAGCTGTTTGTAGGGCGCCACTATTGGCAAGAGCAAATGCGCCTAGATTTGGTATACCGCTGCTATAGCCACCGGCCAATGGTGTACCGATGCCCAAAGCAAATGGTGGCAACACACCGGGTGCACCGAGACCATTTACTGCAAAATCGAATCATGGAATGGAAAATTGCAAAATAAAAAGAGAAGGGAAACAAATTTCGATATTATTAAAAATATTCAAAGAATTATATATTTTAATTATACAAAAAAATTAGCATGTTATTGACATTACTATAATATATTACTACTGTTATTATATTATTTTGTATAAATATATATTTTTGTTAGCATCCAAAATTTATGTAGTTTGATTTTGGTAACAAGATGCATGTTATGTTTTGTTTGGGGGGTTAGTAAATAAATGGTTAAAATGGTGGCAAAAATATATGAAAAAATGAATTCGTTTATTAATTACAAGCTTCAAAACAGTATCAAGAACTAAAAGTAGATTCGGAAACAAAACAAAAACGAAAAAACGGGAAACAAAATGAAAAGGAAAGTTTAAGTGTTACCTATTTTATCACCTGTTAGAGAGGGCCGTTGACGGGCCGCTATCAATAGCAAATCATTTGCATTCACTAAACCGCCAGCGGTGGGCATAATATCGGCGCCCGGTTCGCCAGGTGGCAATGAGGGATTTGTAAAATCGCGTGACTTATCATTGTTATATTTCACATTGAGCGTTGTCATTTTACTGTTGTCAATGCGCAGCGTACAACAGCCATTGTAGATATTTTGCCCATCCAAGATGGTTTTGGCATGCTGGGCCGAATGTGCATCCGGATATTGTATGAGGGCCTGTAGAAAAAAAATATGAAATAGAAAAAATAACGATGATTTTTGATAAATGAAGTAAGCAGCATAAAGGTTGTAAGGCTCCAAAAGTTCTAAGAAATTTAGAAGAGGGGTTTGAAAACTTTTAGAAGGATTTTGTCTCCTAAGTTTTGGAATTTTATATCAGCGGTGCTAAGTCCCAATAATTGAGATTTAAAATTAAAAATTTCTTTCACGAATATTAAATCCGCTGCAAGGACCTCATTTTTGGGATCTTATAAATTATCCTCCTTCTTCTTAGGTATTTATTTCTTCATAAAACTTCGTATTTTTTCTCCCAACTCACCTGGAATGTATTGTTCTTCGTAAAGGTGACAATTTTCAAAACCTTGCCAAAACGTTGGAATATCTGATGTAAAATATCCAACGAAACGGGGTACAATTGAGATTCGACAATGACACGCAACACCGTATTGGGGCCGCCAGCAGAATTGGCATTGCCGCCCGTTAACGAATTCACAGCATTTGTATTGTTCTGCAGGACTGCAACGGCAGTGCTGTCGGCGGCATTGGTGCCACTATTTGCATTGGCAGCAGCGCACAAGGGCAATGGAGAACCGGAGGCCGGTGACTGTATGCGATATTCACATGGTACCAAAGCACCCTGGAAAAAAAATTAAAATACAAAAAATTTGTTAAAAATAATTCAAAAAATATATTAACATTTCTAATTAATTTTTTATATGGGAGAGCATTTCATATTATTTTTTGAGAGCTTTTTTAAGGATTTTCTAAAAATAGGCGTGGATTTTTTAAAAATATGTTATCAAGGCTCCGCAGTAGGCGTTAATGTTTTTTTTATAAATTTGTTCAAGGCTCCACAATAGGCGTGGATTTTTTAAAAATATGTTATCAAGGCTCCGCAGTAGGCGTTAATGTTTTTTTTATAAATTTGTTCAAGGCTCCACAATAGGCGTGGATTTTTTAAAAATATTTTTTTCAATGCTCCACCTGTTGGTGGGCGTGGATTATTTTTTCAAGGTTCCACAATAGGCGTAGATTATTTGAAGAAGATTTTTTCAATGTTCCACAATAGGCGTGGATTATTTTAAGAAGATTTTTTCAAGGTTCCACAATAGGCGTGGATTATTTTAAGAATATTTTTTCAAGGTTCCACAATAGGCGTGGATTATTTTAAGAATATTTTTTCAAGGTTCCACAATAGGCGTGGATTTTTTTTAGAAGATTTTTCCAGGTTCCACAATAGGCGTGGATTATTTTAAGAATATTTTTTCAAGGTTCCACAATAGGCGTGGATTTTTTTTAGAAGATTTTTCCAGGTTCCACAATAGGCGTAGATTATTTGAAGAATATTTTTTCAAGGTTCCACAATAGGCGTGGATTTTTTTTAGAAGATTTTTCCAGGTTCCACAATTGGCGTGGATTTTTTAAAAAAATACTTTCTTCAAGCTTCCACAATAGACGTGGATTATTTTAAGAATATTTTTTCAAGGTTCCACAATAGGCGTGGATTTTTTAAGAAGATTTTTTAAAGGTTCCACAATAAGTGTGTATTTAAAAAAATATTTTCTTCAAGCTTCCACAATAGACGTGGATTTTTTTAAAAAAATATTTTCTTCAAGCTTCCACAATAGGCTTGGATTATTTTAAGAATATTTTTTCAAACTTCCACAATAGGCGTGGATTGTTTTAAGAATATTTTTGATTTTTTTTTAATTTTGAAATATTTTATATTCCAATGTTTTATTTTTTTTTGTGGAACTTTTTGATCGCCATTTCATGTTTTCGCTATTTTTTTATTTATGTTGATTTTCCCAAAAACCATTTCCTTGTAATGTTTACTTAACAGCTTAATCTACTTTTCCCAGAGATTTCCCAATTTTCCTAGACTACTTCTTTCCGAACAATTTTTTTTTTTGCAAAGGGAATTAAAAAAGAAAATCAGGAATATAACTCTCATCCCTTAAAAAATAAAAAAGGGAACGAACCAAAAAACTTTTTATTTGTTTTGTGTGGTCAAGTTAAAAGAAAGTTTTTTAAGGATTATAAGGGTCCTGTTGATCCACACTCTTTCTCCTTTTCTCAGGGTGCAAAAAGTTTTCTTTGTCTTGGCACCCATGTTTTATTTTTTTCGCCAAATAAAAAAATTTCAAAATTCTGAGACATTCCCTTTGCCAGGAATTCCATAATCTCAGCATGGTACAAAGACAGGCATACACACACACCCACCCACCCCCGCAACAGGAATAGGAAACAAATCAATCACACCTCAATATTGATTTAAAGGAATGCTGGTATCTTCCTATCTAGGAAAACAATCATCATAAGGGAGGGACAGACAGACAGACAGGGTAGGAAGCCAATAAATAAGACATAGCTCAAAAATCATGGCCCTTGATCGGAAAACAATTTAATGGAAAACGGAAGTTAAGTTATTCCCCCCATGCATTGTTGATTTTTCACAGGTGACAATTTGGGCCACGCAACATTTTCGAGGGTGTAGGGGGAAAGGAAAAATGGTGTCACAAACTGTTTAACTTTAAGGTGAACTTGACAGACAGACAGTGAAACCACGTACCACCATCAGTGTTAGGTAAACATTCCATGACACAAACGCCCGCACACACACAGTGACACACATCTAGAATTCAAGCTATGACAAAGTGAACGCATGACGAACATATTACCCAAGCGTGTGATTCCCGTTTTACGCACAGAGACATGGATGGCGCCCAAGCAACCACGAAAAATAAATAAACACTAGAAGAACACAGGGAGACTGACAGACAGACAGGACAAGCCAAGCCAGGCGGCATTCAGCCAGTCAATGTGTGATAAAGGCCACAAAGTCCTTTCTTGAGTGTGGTGAATCGCCCACACACACACAGATAGTCAGCATCGTAGCAATTCAGAGCGATAGAAAAAGTGTCAGTGAGCGAGCAAAGGACGTGATGTGTTTATGTAACAAAAAAAAAATCACTAAACTTTGCTAAAACACACACAGCGACTAACAGACAGTTCGACCAGGCAAATGCTCTACTGGAGAACTTTTCGTGAAATGTTGTTCTTTGTGTTGTACTCTGAAGCAATAATAAAAATTGATTAGAATTGCAAAAGAGATGACAAGAACACCAGCAGCAGCATCAGCAACAACAACAAAAAACGTTGACAACGTTCCATGAGATTGTGTTGTGTGTCGTCGGCGAAAAGATGCTAACAATATTTACCTGTCTTGGCATTTTTTTCTCATTTTTTTTTGTATCATGTCCTTCTTCTTCGTTGGTGGACTATAAATGCATCCGTAAGGATTCATTTCGTTCTACCATATATTTTATGTGTGTGTTTGTGTTGCTGTTCGAACCTGGCAAATTGTTTGGCTACAAACTCAATACGTCCGACCAGTTATGGGTGTGTGTGAGAGTGTATTTTTTGGCGAAATAGAACGCCGAACGCGTAATACAATAAAAATGGATGATTTCATCTTGGGATTCAATTATATTTGCAATGCTTAAAGATGGCGATTTGTGGAATGAAAGGTAAGGAAAAACAAATCGAGAATTTTTGAAATTGCTGGGGAGTAAATTTTGGACAAACAAATTTAATAAAGGACGTGGATGTTGAAAAAATAGGCGTAGATTTTTGAAAAATATATTTTTTCAAGAGTCAATAATGAGAGTGGATTTTTAAGCATCACCAATGCTGAGCTGAGTCGATCTAGACATGTTGTCCGTCCGTCCGTCTGTCCATTTGTAAACACGATACAGGCCACAGTTATGGACCAATTCTCACGAAATTTTGCATATAGGACCGGTTCTGGCCAATGAAGACCCCTATTGTTTCTGGTAAAGATCGGTTAATATTTAGGTAATGAAATATACCAAAAACTTAATTTTTGTCGGTTTTTCAAGTCGCTCCACACGTCGCAATTATGGCCCAAACTTCGCAAATTTTGGAGAAGGATATGGGGTCACAGAATAAGCATGCCTGTTTTGATAAAGATCGGTCAATATTTATCGGGTCAAATGGACCCTGACTTTAGTGTGAAAAATTACAAAATTTATATTCTATAGCGTATATATTTACCCCTGAAGGACATAGACCCGAGAAGTTGCTAGTACATCCAAGAGGAGTGGTTGACCTTTTATTGAAACCAATTATATTGTAGTATGTACTCGGATGTGGGATTTACACGTAAATATTTACAGGTGCTTACGTATTCATGTATTATTTAGTAACCCATTACCACATTAGAGGGCGAAAATATAGCGCGGATTGCTTTGAAATATTCTATGAGGATCCAAGTATGGTAAAGGCCAACGCCTATAATTTTCGGTGATGATCAGATAATAATATTGGGATAAAGTGCACCGAAAACTTATTTTTTGTGTTTTTTCAAGTCTATCTATAGGCCACAATTGAAAACCGAACATTTCAACACAACCCACGGTGAAGGAAATCTGGACAAGCAATTAGAGGGGGCTGTACTGAATACTAATAATAATAATATTTGTTGACATCTGGTGCAAATATCGCGAAGTATTGTCCAAGCTCAGAATGTAGTACCACAGAAAGTTAGATTTCCGTGGAAGTTGTGTAGGGTACCATATGGTCGGCCCCGTCCGACTATACTGCTCCGCTCACTGGTTTAAAAATATTTTAAGATATACTTTTTTAAAAATTCTTTTCATATTATTATTAATTTTATTATTTGTATTTTATATTTCTAAACAAAATCCTCCACCCTATTAAACATCCATGGCTCTCACACGATCCTCATCATATTTTGACACTATTCTCAAATAAATTTACTTTTTACGTAAAACCAAATATTTTCTTTTAGTTGAAAAAAATAAACAACAAAACTTTTTTGTTTCTATTTTATTATCAAAACCCAACTTGTTGCCTTGTTGTAGCTGTCGTTTCTTTGTTTTCTATTATTCCTGTCACTTGGTCGACACGGTGCTGCTTCTTCGTCTTTCTGGTTCATGGTGGTGGTGGTAAATAAACAAACACAAAAGCATAAAACAATCACATTTATGAAACTTTAAATAAAAGCATCCACTTGTCATTGTTTTTTATGCAGGCGGGTTGTTGGTTGTTACCTTCAGATTGGCAGAAGCAAAGCGAGCCCCGACAGAATGGTTGACTGGCTTCTTCTTTGGCTTTGTTGATATTGTAAAGAATACAAATATAGTTTTTGTTGTTGGGGGTAACAATTCCATCAATTTGTTGATGGTGGCGGTTTGGCGCCCGCAATGGATGCCAGTGGAAAATGTGTTGCAGCAGCAGCACCGGCAAACATGTCCTTGTTGCTTTGGCTGTTGCTTCTTCGTTTTCCTTTGCATGTTCACCATTGCTGCTGTTATTGTGGTTGCTGTATTTCATATCTGTTGATGGGATAATGGCAGAAGTACTCTTAAAAGAAACTGAGTAGTGGCATTATTGTTTCACTGCAACCACACACACACACTGACACACTCAGCTAGACTTGCTACCCTTCCATTATTCCTTCCCCTCCCCATCCGAAAAACTTAAGTGTGTATTAAGTTTGCCGCTACTGCTTGTGGTTTATTTAATACTCTTTGCATAAATAACTAGGTTTTTGTTGTTTTTGTTTTCTCTACTTATTTTTATATACAACTG